AAATGACGTCAAAGTGTGGTGATCGGCCTGTGCCATTGATGTTCTTACCTCATTTTGACGCCATTTTCTCGGATCTGTGACTGAACGAACAAATCGCATTTTTTTTTCTTTGCTTCATACAATGAACAGAAAAGTAGAACTCGATTTGTTGCAGCTGCTCGACGGATGTTTTGACGTCGCCAAGAGCAAATTTCGTGGCAGCCTCTGCTTGCTTAATTCAGTAAAAATAATGAGTAATGCCCGGGGGGGGGGTACTTTAGGAATTCCTGGGTGGGGATGTGCCGCTTGGACCCTAAAACCCTTGACCTATAGCAGAGCTAATTCAGCTGAATTTTGCTATCCTATACTAGAGTAAACTCCCCAAATCCCCCCTATCCTAGAGTAGCTGTTTTCCAGAAACTACTGAGGTCACTAGCACAGTCTAGTCAAAACAAAACCTTATACCACAATCCCTAGTCTAGATATATAAAATCTTCAACCAACTGATCAGTCTTGAAAAATGATACCCTATTCTAGACCCAAACGCTCTGATTTATATACCCTATCCTAGAGTAAACTGCTTGAAAACCATACCCTTCACAGCGGCACATACCTATATAGCCCATATATGGCAGTACCCCCCGGGGAGTAATGCAATCATCTTGTAAACTGTACTCCGCTTTAGAGAAAACAGAGAACACAATTTTTCTGTGATGTCATTCGTGTGTCTTTACTCTGACAGGTCATGAGTAACGACCAATCATGGCGCGTAGTATACAGCAAAAAGTCAGTGCTGTAACAGGGTTTGTTTACAGTTTGAAGACTGTGTTGTCATGAACGCACAATGGTGTGTGCAAATCATCTTTTCCACATTACTGTTGTCGTTGAATCGGTCGCTTTGTGTCTCAAGGTGACGTTGTTATCCTGAATGTCTTTTGCACAGTTGCTGGCAATAGTTGAGTAACCGCTATGAAAGTGATTCATCTTGTTTAACTAAATATCCTTGTTTTGTGTGTTTTTTTTCCGTAGACGATGTTAAGATGATTCTTATCATTACTGTTGGTTCCACGTCGGGAGTTGTTGTGGTTGTGTTTGTGATTTGCTGCGCTCGTGCAATTTTAAAAGTGAAAAGAGAAAAAAAGGCGGAAGAAGAAGACAGAAGTAGACATAAAGCTAGTAACTATGCAGGAGGAGATACTAATTTATTAGCAGAAGCAAGGAGCAACGGGCGTAAAGAAGGGACCATCCTGGACTTGTACCTACATTGCTTTAGCCCATGTCCACATAAATCCGTCTACAAACGTTTTTCTTCGCGGCTTCCAGTATTAAAGTATCTGTTTACCTGCTTGTCCACTCTGCAGATCGTTTACGACAAAAACCCGTCTATGTTAATCGCCACATCATTCTCGTGAGGACAGGGATCGTAAAGATATACGTTTTTGCGTTTAGAAACATAAAGGGACTCTTGTACACTAGTCAGATGGCATCAGAGTGTTGTTTAAAATTATACAGAAAAGTACCATAAAATAGTGAAGATCTAAATTTACCTTATTGCTGCTAATTTTCGCGGGATCTAAGAGCCTGTTTGAAAGAAGGGAGGGTAGCCTGTGCGAGAGTTACCCTTGCAAGCGGGTTAAAGCTGATAGCTTGGGTTAGAAGCGAATGAGCCTGAGTGTCTTCTGTTTAAGATCAAAGGTAGTTGGAGACACTATAAATAGATAGATTGTGATGTGGTAAGTTTCTCTTGTCACCACCAAGTGTTAAAGCAAGATTGGGTGATAGAAATTCAGCTCTTAGCCATAAGGTGACTCTCTTCAGGCCTGGTTGGTTATCGCCAGATTTCTATGCAAACAGTCTGGGCCTTTTCGAGGAATGTTTTCGAAAATTCGGCTATTATTAGTATTATTTTTGTTGTTGTTGTTGTTGTTGTTATTATATTGACAAAAATAAAATTTAATTTTAAAAATACGATAGACAACACATAATAAATGAAAGGATGTAATTCACTTTTCAAAAGCTATTTACAATCGTGGAAGAAATCAAAAATTATGATTGGCTTATAGTGCTCTCTAAAATACTGCTTAACTCAACTTTTCTTATAAATGATCCTGAAGATGTTATGACCACTTGATTTCTTGATTTTTTCAGCCAAGATGATCCATAGTATTGACCAAATTCTATAATGATGTTTCCCACAAATAACGGTGTTTTAAAGTTAAATAATTCTGTTACATTGTTCGTTAATTTTTTTTTTTGAAAAAATTGTACGGAGATAGGAACATCTTGCAGATCTTTTGCTTCAAAATGACGGCAGCCTTGCTCGTTTAAGGAGAGGCTTCATAGAACTCTGTTATTAATTCATTAGGAACACCAGCTAAAGCTAATCACGATTTTTTAGTCTCCCGATCCCACCGCCCCGAATGCCTCACTTTAGATGTTACAGTTGGTGGCGTTTGTCTATCCCCACCTTTGTCGAATTCGACACTTTAGACACAGGAAGGAAACTGGATCGAGTTAACCCTTGCAAAGACGTCTGGGACTGTTACCGGGGTAAGGGAAAAATTGACCAATAGCTGACCGGTGCGTCCCCAGTAGCTATCCCAGAAACAATTGCGGGACATATTTCGGCTCCAGTTCTCTTCTCGTTTCTAAAGCGGCGAATGCAGGATTGTAAACTGCCTGTCTTCCCACCCGGCAGAAGCCAACAGCAAGTATCGAGAACGATTTTTAAGACCAGAGAGTTCGTTGGTATGTTAGATCGCGAAAGTCATGGAGGGTTTCACATTATCCAGAATTCTCCCCTCAATTCTTGACCACATGGATAGTAAACAGTTTGCAGCGTCTTCACAAGTGTTTCGGATAAAATATTATTTATATTTTTTTCTCGCCGCTTCCCAACCCGTTCCCCCTCCTCCTAGGTAGATTTGATTCTCTTGAAACCCAGCAGCCCAGGTAGTCTAGCGGAAGGATGGACGATTAGAGAAATTCCCCTGATAGCTTCTGTGTTGAGACGTATTCCCTGTCCAAAGCACTCATCTCTTTCAATAAGCTTTTTAAAGTAAAGGAATGACCTATTTGTCATTGCGTTCGACGTAAGGCGAACGTAACGTAAACTTAACCAGCGAGAAGCATTTAGCTGAAAGATACTCGATTTTTGATTGGATCAAGTCCCGGAAACGGAGGCACGTCATAGATCGCGGACTTCTCGTCGCCAGAGCCCGTCGTTTCTTTGGAACACAAGCGCTTTGGAGGAAAAAAAAAACATTTTTTGAAATGCTAACGCTTATTTCGGATAAATTTACAGTTGAAATGACAATAGAAATCAAGGGCAAGGCTAGTCAACGGGATTTATCGATGACTGCGTTTGTAAAAGTCCATGCAGGCTTTTACCGCAGAGCGGCAGAAAAAAATAGGCGCTTCTGACCTCAGTTAAGGTGGCTTTGTTATTAAAAAAAGGTCCATTGACCTATGATAACATGATGGCTACGGAACTTTATGAATAACTACAGCTATCATTCGGCAATAACACGGAACAACCCGATCTTACTGATGGTAAAATTTTTGCAAAATTAGTGCTTAAGTGGACCCTACATTTCAAACAAAATCGCGTCTACTTCTTTTAATTTTGCATTGATATTTTAAAATGATTTATAGATATTAAGTATGCCAAATCAATTTCAGAGAAATAAAACGGCTACGACCCCGCTCTGTTTGGGTCCTATCGGTGTCGTCTGTATGTCTTGCAAAGTTTATTTTTACGTACTAATTTGGACAGCTTTGCAAATTTATGTGCACTTGATATTACGAAGAAGTCTGATGGGCTTGAAAACCATTGCACTTAAAATAACTGTTTAGTACCTGTAAACGAATGTCACCCTTGCTTTCGTGGGGTCAGGTAACTTTTACCACCTGCTATAAAAAAAGGCTGAGTTTATAGTTGCATTTTCAGAAATCAAAAATGAATTTTGACCGTATTTTAGACCTCAGAGGTCTGGTCTCCTTCTTCAACATTGCTATATCGTTTTTTCTTTTTTCTACAATACGGATAACGACCTCAACTTGCTTAAATCGACGAGATCCAGTCCAGAAGAAGGATCTAGCACTGGAGAAAGTGCTCAACAAACTGAACAAGCAACACCTGTCGCAGCAGGAAGCCCTCATTTTAAACGAGGCCGCGGGTTTGGAATTCAACGTTACAGTGGTGGCATTAAGATTATAAAACTTAGAAGAATTCTAGACTACGCGAAAAATACCGGTCGCCTTCTTTAGTGCTTTACAAGCTACATGTTTTGTATCAGATTGAACAGGGACCTTTGAAGGATAGATATCTTAGCGTCTACGTCCGTAAAAGCCGCACTGGTGGCATGAAGTTTCACCTTCGATCACAGGATGGAAAAAACAAGCGATCTCTGCGTCATCGAAATGGAAATACAGCTCAGTGCGATCAGCTTAGTAAAGGTGCGAACTGCTCTAAGTGCGGATTTCATGGAATTTGCCTTCAAGGTACCGCTAAGTTTCATCTTGGCTTCAATACGCCTTGAAGACTCAAAGAGAACTTCAAATCGACATCCCTGTTAATCGTGTGCAATTTCTGGGGGCTCATAATGCTTTTAATAATAGAGCAAGCGGTTATGGTGATTTGGACGATTGCCAATGGCCGGTAAAAGATGACCAAGTCTGCATCTCAGTAGCCAATCAGGAATTCAGCTTTACTGACCAGCTCAACATGGGTGTGCGCCATCTTGAAATTGACCTGTGGAATTGTTTTGGTGAGATTCGTATGAGCCATGGCAACAGGGATTTTAAAATAGGCTGCTCGCCATGGGACAAGGAGTTAACAGAGGGAATGAGTGAAATATCGGAATGGACTCAGAAGCCAAGGAACAGAAATGAAATAATTCAAATTTACTTCGATGATCACACAAACCCCACGATAAATCGACAATAAACAAGTTAATTAGAGACTATTTTGGAAATAAGGTGCTGACACCAAGTGATTTGAAAGTTAAATTTTCAGGAAGATGGCCGAGCATGCGAGAAATGCGGCGCTTAAAGAAAACGGTGATTTTATTGATCCAGATGATCGTTCAGGACAATATGTTCACAGCCAATTTTGGACCCAAGGCTATAATGTCAAAGGCTTCTTATCACAGCTTAACGACTGCTCAGCAGCTGGAAAAAGTGACGAGATCATTAGAATTTATAGCGATAGCACTAACTACGGACCATTTTGGAACGGACCAAAGAAGGCTGGAACAATTTTGGATTTTAAGAAGTATTTATTGTGTGGAGTTGCTATTCCAAGCGCTGATCAAATCAATGCAAAACTCATGAAAACAGCTGTATTTACCTGGGCTGAGGGTGAACCGAGGCAACCAATCACTTCTCCTCTTGCGTCATTCTTTCGGCTGAGGAGAGATGGCACGTGACCAGCTGCGCTGAAAAGCATTATTTTGCGTGCGTTTTAAAAGTGGACAAGACCCGATTGAACATCAGCTCAGATTTGGACAAATATTCTAAAACCATCTTGTCCAGAAAATATGGAATTCTGTGTTCTTCACAATGGTTATGAACATCAGCGGCTTAAGCAGGCAGCTAAAGGAAAGACAGTTTGGCTGAATATTGCACCTTTCCTTCCCCTCATAAAACAAAAGAGGTTGGAAAGGACATAAGTTTTCAACTTTTGGGGATAATCAAAACATAACGGCCAGCGTGAATTTTAACCCGGCGTGTCGCGAACGTCGCGCGCGCACGTTTATGTTCGCTTCTTCTCGTTTCTCGTTTCGCTTTGACCTGCTCCGAGAATGGGCTCTAAAACTCGAATATCAGCATTTCTAGTGCTAGCATCAAACTACGGAAGATTGATAATTTGTAATTTTTTATATTGACACCTATTATTGTAGGAAAAGGGTATGGGTTTAACTTGAATTTTTTACCAGCACTGATGAATTGCTCGTAGCAACGGTAAGCTGGGTAGGTGTGCCAATTGTCCTTGGACAAAGCCATTACAAAAACAAACAAACGAAAAATATAAATCAGGAAAACAATGTTTAGAATAGGTTTACTTTATTTTTGTTATTAATTTAGATCTGTAATTTGGGTTGTTTGGTAATGGTAGCCTGTTCCAGTCTCCAAAATAGTAATGCGCAGAGAGATCGTGAAAGCTGATGAGAAAATTGCACGGAGGCTGCGAAGAGAGAAGCTTTTCCACTGCCGCCCTCTTCCCAGATCACGCCCGCCCTATTTCCCCTTGACCTTATTTTCTCCACGTTCCTACTATCTAAGAGCGTGGCACAGCCAGGCCATGCATACCCAGTCGTGGTTCCAGAAGTTGTTTTTCTCGCGTGGGGCGGAATGCTTAGGTGTCGGCTGCACGTAGACACATGTTCGGTTCTTATACCGCTTGCTTTTGGATTAGATTTGCTAACTTATTTATTGCTCAAAGCAGTAGGATATTCCCCTTCATTGACTGGCTTTGACTAAGAAGCTACGTTCATTGAATGGGTTGGTTGCCACCCGCCTTTGAGGTTTTTTATATTTTTTTCCAAGACTATAAAAAATCAGCATCTGACGTTTTCACGGTAGCTGTTTGTTTATCCCTCGCGCGCATCTTGAGATAAGTTTCTATGGTTACGAGATATGACGTCATAAGTAGCAGGTGGTCAAGCTATTTTTGAGTGAAAATGCATGTTTTTTCAACTTCTTTCAACAAAAAGTAAAGCTTGTGGATGAAATGATGCAAAGTGCTTTTTCATGTGTTACTTTACATGTTAAGCCCAAAAAATTACCATTTCTCGCGGTTTTCCCCTGATTTCTAATTCTTAGTAAAATCCAAGATGGCAGCCAAGATGGCGACCATTGTGAGTGACGTCACAGTCCTCCAGCAGCGCCACCATCCATAAAATATACCTCATCTTGTTGAGAAGATCAAAGGCTTTCCGCTGAAGGTAAAATCGTTTCGAAATACTGCAACATAACTCTGGGAGGGGTTCCATCAACCCCCCGTCTTGTACCACGGTGGAGGTATGAATTTGCGTGTAAGTCCGAGGGTTAAATTAACCAATATGAAATTCCGTGTCGCTGTACGATGATCTACGATGGAGTCGATAGCAACCAAAATTTACTTTTCGTCGGTCGAGGTCTGGGCACAATTTGGGACATATCAGTTCAGTTACATAACGTACATTAAAAATTTTTGCGCCATGATGTTTTTCGAACTTGAACAGACGTTTTTCCTTGAAAAGAATCAGGACTTTTCAGGCAGTCATATTTTAAAGGGCGTTAATTTATCAATAGATTGCCTTTTTGTTCTTCTTCTTACAAATTATACAACACTTTTTTGAATCGTGTGGTTTTCTAGCCTCCCATGCAGACGTTCTTACGGGTTCGTCACGCAATCATTCCTGGAGGAATGCCTTTTTGCGTGACGAACCCGAAGCGAGTTTTTGCGAACTTAATTCTACAGGGAACAAGATCGTCGGCTAAATCAAAGCAGAAAATGGACCAGTCTTTACAGTGGGTACGATGTTTATCTGTAGCGAAGCATTATAACAGATTAAAGCTAACAAGAAACTCATATATATACTGTACAATGTACCTGGTAAGCAAAGATTTCCATGCAGCCATATTCAGCTTATATTTTATGCATTTAAGCTTAGAAAAAAAAACGCACTTTATTTGAGTGTCAATGTCTTTAGCACGAAACTACTAATTGGGGACACTATTTTAACGTCTCCTGTCCTACGGGAGACAGGACCTCCATTGACGTGGTCATCCGAGCCGTGCGAAGGTCTAGCCATTGCAGTGCAAAAGGTACCTTCATTTCTCAGTTATTTTAAGACCCTGAGTGTTGGTCAGTCCGAAAATTGAACCCGCGACTTCCCACTCTGTAGTCAAGTGCTCTACCGACTGAGCTAATCCTGCTAATCGTGCTGCTTACATGTAGCTTAAGTCTTCTGTTTTGATTCCCCTCACATAAGCTATTTGTGTGAAATAGTATGAAATGGCTGCTGCAAGCCTTATATATGAATGGGGCCGTACAGAAATCTTAATTAACAGCTTAATTAACTCAGCTTAAAAGCTTATGTTTTATTCATATCTTTATTCTTATGCCTCTGTTAAGGCCATCCTCCTGCTTGCATAAATCTATACCTGCCAACTTTTTTCTGAGATGTAGGCGTGAGATTTTTTATCCTGGGAGTGCTGGGATTTTTGAAAGCGACACGATCATGTCCGAAGATTTCCGAAGAAGTCCGAAGTCTTCGAAGGCGTCCGAAGTCTTGCGGCGAAGTTATCGAAAACTTATCCACAAAATCAGAGATCGCGAGGAAGGTATTGTCATTTATTCATTTTACACATGGTTTTAAATTCGTTACATGGGTCTGAGTTAACATATTTTGGGAAATTGTGTCCAGCAAAGGACAACAACTCCATTTTCAATCAGGCGTGAAATTGGTCCGCAGGCGTGGCCCGGCGTGAGATCGAAGTTTTCAACCCGCGGGCGTGAGACTCACGCCTAAGGCGTGAGAGTTAACAGGTATACATAATCTTATGCTATGCAGATCGTCTCTGTTGAGGACCATGCTATGCTTATGCTTGCATCGCTAAACTGCACTTTCCACGGTATCATATGAATTTGCATTCGCTTTATTTACTCGCGAATTGTTCTATAGTGTGTGATTACACTGTAGAGTCACTGTAGTTCTTTAAGAGAGAGCATCACACCAAGCCACAGTTGACTCTCTTTAACGGACACCTCTATAAAAGGACACCTCTGTAAAATGGACACCTAGAGTTGGTCCCTGCCTTTCTTTCCTCCCTTTATTTGACTCTCTGTAAAGGCGGACATCTCTCTCAGATGGACAGTTACAGCCTGTACCGAAGGTGTCCATCTTAGAGAGAGAGTTGACTGTAAACCTTATTAAATCAGTTGTATTCAGGTTCTTTTTGACTGTTTAAACAGGGGTCTTTTTGCATGAGCATGTGCGACATCTGAACAAGCGTGTGTACCTAAGCCCACCGCAGGGTCTGCCTTCATCAAAATGGTGCATCTCAAAGCTATCATCCAGCGATTATTTTTGCTTTTGGTCTTGGCAAATGTGCTTCGTGATGTAACAAATGTGTGGTTTGCAAAAACTCTAACATGGTGTTAACAAAAGTGAAGTAGACCGGCTTTAACATATTACGAGCTGCTATCAAATTTCATCTCCTGACTTTAGCTGGACAACAAACCGCCTACATGTAGTACTTGGGATTGGCGCTTGATCTTGAAGTCTAAACAAAGTGCTTAAACATGTGATGATGTAAGTAAACACTTGTTTTGAACTGGGAAAGGAACCCAAATATTATTTTTAAAAAAAAAAACATAGCAAACTTCAGTGAATGGGTTGAAAAGAACACAAAAGCTGGTGTTCAGATCAGCAGTGAATTAATATATGTTCTACAAATTATCCAGGAAACTCAATAGCTGCTCTCGACAATCGATGGCTCCCAGTTGACTGGACCAGTTTGCAATGGAATGCTGCGTGAGGTAACATTTCACGATGACCATTCAGTTAAAACAAAAACAACAAAGGCAGTATAGTACGTATCTGGATGTATATATACAAATCGAACTTGAAACAATCTCAGAACCAAGCAGAAAAGCTCAAAAACTTTCAGGCGTCAAACGCAAAAGTTAACTTCCGGTCCAGTCAAGTGGAGGCATTCATAAATCAAAAAGTCAGTAATCAATCTCTGATCTTTTTTAATACGAAGATTTTTATTTTGAACAGAAAAAATGGCCCACCATTCATTTATCCCTTAAACTGTTGTTGGAAAGAGTTAAATGAAAAATTACCTCTTGTAATACTTGAGGCACGGCTTGAAAATAAATCGGTCCTCAAACTAATTTCATCCACACGAGACATAGATTAGTCACCTAGTGAGATGTTAGTGTTAGTCACTCTGTATGTCTCAAACAATAAAAAAAAATGAATATCAATGAGACACAGTCAAAACTGCATTCAATAGGACCGAAATTAAAGTCAAATCTTGTGACAGGTTTTGATGAACCAAATGGTTAGGTTTCCCAAGACAACATGGCATTGCACCCACTCTTGAATGATTTTTTTTTCACTGCCAGCAAAAGCTGTCTGATTATCTTTGTGTTTTAATTTTTAAATAAATGCTTTAAACATCACCAACTTTGTAGAAAGTTATGATTAATTTGTCTAACAGAACTTGAAATCGGACTCCCGTTACACAGTTGTCTGAGTTTGTTAGACACTTGAACATCGGACGATTGCAGACCGAATTCGACTCCACTTGTGAACCTACAAGTTATTCGCAGAACCCATATAATGTAGAGCAATTTTCGGTTGTTGATTGATTATCATTCTTTGACAGGTTCAGTCAAAAAATAGAAAGGAGATTAACTACCAAGTTCAAG